GAGAAAAAAGGCTACAGTTAACTTTAGAGAAAAAGCTCAAGATTTTTGATGGAGTGGATTCTGGGAAAAGAAAAAAGACATTGCTGATGAGTTTGGAATTTATCCATCAAAACTATATCCACATTCTTGAAAGACAGCAAACATAAAAAATGTAAGATATGAATATTGACCCTCTGTGCAAGCAATTGAGAACTGCTACCTTTTATGATGTGGAGAAACGAGAAAGCTGTTTTCAAGTGGTTTACTGATTGAAGATTTTCAAAAATATCCCCATCAATGGGCCACTTACAGTATTCAAGAAAAGGCAAAGGTGTTAGCTGCATTGTTAGGTCATACAGATTTCACTGCAAGCGGGGGTTGGCAAATATGCTTGTGAGAGAAGTTTGGGATAGCTGCCAGAATTATTGGTCAGGATGCATCTGCAGTACCAGTTGAAAAGGCAAATGAATGGCATGCTGGAAAGTTTAAAAAATCATATCTGACTATTAGCTTGAGCGTAGGATATATTTGTCATTCTGGCAGGTACCAACACATAAGCCTGGGCCCACAATTTTTAAATGTTTTTGGAGTCCTTGTAAATTTTTTTCTGATTTGTGAACATCAGTTGCAAGTTTTCCGCCAATCAATACAGAGACCTGTTTAATGAACTAAATTACTGTACTACAGTAAATTATTTACTTGAGTACCACACACCCTTGAGTATGAAAGGCACCTCAGAGTTTTTTCAAAAATTTTGCCCAGAATTGCATCCCCGCGTAAGATGCACATCCCAGTTTTACATAGTTGAAATCAACTTGTCTTCAAATTATAATGTTCAACAAAATAATCCTATAAATAAATTTAAGAAGAAGCAGCTTTCTAACAGATTTCGAGCCAAACTGGATTTCCTGTTCGATTTGTGCACTTTTGTTAAGTAATTATGACCATGCACCACCAATAATTTCAGAATTTATTCTTTCAGAAAATGTATACATGCTTACCAATCGCACCCCACTTTTCAGCCAAGATTTTGCAGGAACAAAAGATGCGGGTGGGGACTTGAGTAAATACGCACACTTTTACAATACTTTCCTTGTGGAAACACTTTTGGGAGAATGAAAGAGACGCTAGATTTGAATTTGCAGGCGTTGAGAATGCTGTCAAATTCACAATGACCGATGATTTGTACAAACACACACGACGCACCTTTGGATATAATGTGAGGAGCATTACTGATCAAGAGTATCAGTGTACAATATAGGGAAATAGAAAGCCACCGCGAAAGGGAACACTTCCGATTATGACCAGTTCGTGCACCATCATCATCATCATCATCATCATTGAGAACGTGAGGCGATTGAAAAGCTGATTGGGAGGAAGTGGAGAAAATTAACTGAACTGATTTGGATTTTTAGGGCCTCTTATTGTTTTCTAGAAAAAATACTATCACACTGTTCGACGATGAATGCAGTGTTAATCGCTGCATACCGGCATTTCGAATCTTGAGAACCGGACCAAAACAAGTGCAATATTATATTTGCCACTCTACTTGTGCACAACCACAAGCGTGGTTTCTTTAGAAATTTTTTTGACAAGAAGAAAGGACATGAGCACAAAGGGCGAGTGCAATTCATTTTTAGTGTAAAACCCAAAATATATCCGTGATTTCCCTTTGAAGAATAGTCTGAAGAAAAGTGTTTTGCAAATATGGCATAAAAGAAGTACAGTATTATAAATATGTAGTACTTGGAAGAAAAGTCTTGTTTCCTTCTCACTCACCACAAAAAGAAGAAAAATATTTTCTTTGTAAAATACCGTATTTTCTCTCACCTTTTCTTTCAAAACTGAGATGGAAAAAGGGGGTGTATGTCGGATAGGTTAAGAGCACGTATATCCACTGATTGACAACCCCATGACATTTTTTTTTTTGCGTGAAGCCATTATTCGGAAAGATTAGTCCTATTATATACTGGCAAAATAATCTCAGCTCCCTGGGGGGGGGAGAAGGGGAGGGTCAGAATCAACTTCTGGCCGCATTATTGGGATCATGTGGTCAAAATAATGTGACCTCCTTTCTGTCGCTGCATTTCTCATTCTCTGGTTTTGACGGAAGGGAACAGTGCTTATGGCTGCAGGTCAGCATCCGCCCTACTTTTCACCTTCAGCAATCAGCTGATGCGTTCCTCTCTCTCTCTTATTTTTTCTTGTTCTTCTTCTTCTTCTCCTGATAGCAGCAAGTATTATTATTATCATCATCATCACTATTATTAATGATATTGTTTTTAATGCTCCGTGTGTTTACTTCTTTTTCCGATGCGGGGAGGGACGGTCGATGATGAGAGAGGAATATATACTGTGTGGAGAAGAGGGACTCGCTGGGTGGCAGCGAGTATAAATTCCGATTTCCGCCGTGCCCATAGTCGTGAGAGTCCGCTGCTCCGCGTTCCTTGGTGGTCGTGGTGGAGGCTGGTGGTGGACCAGCAACTTTTTTTTTTATTCATTTTTATAAACTGTACTTGCTGGGGGGAAAATTGAATGATATATACACATTGTCGTGCAGAATTCATGGGTAAATAAGGCAGGAAGACGGTTGGAGCGTGCGTTATTTGACAGAGTTTTATTGTTCTGAGTTACGTGAGTCTCGATGAGGAAACCAGATCAGTCCTGAAAAAGCGATCCTCAGCATGTGATCTCTGTATACTTTACTTTCGAACTTGAACTGGATTCAAACTCGACTGGAAAGGTTTTCTATTCTCGTGACAAAAGCCGTTTTATCGTTATACTGTATACCTGTGAAAAAGGCAGAAATTGCTGGAAGGAAGGACGATGGCTCTTGTGTTTTGTAGAAGAACATCAACGAAAGCTTCAGCAACTGGGCTGAGACAAATGATTTTTCTATACTCGTGGCAAAAAAAAAACTTTTATGGACCTGTGAAAAGGAAGAAATTCTTGAAAGGATTCAAAAATAGTTTTACGAAAGAAAGCTTACTTGACACAAAAGCTTAAGCATATGTCGGCTTCGATTTTCGAGAAATGGCTTCCTATGCAGCATAGAAACGGATATTATTCTCGTATAAACGTCATGTGAATGAAATTTATTAAATTTTAATTATGCCATGTACTGTAGTTGGAATCCTATTGAATTGCCAATCATTGCGTGCTGCTTTTTTTTCTCTCGAATTACTGTATCGAAAAGATACTGGATACTAAGATTACCGAAAGTTCTCATTGAGTACCTGAGACGTACTGTCGACTTATTATTAACTGCATTTCCGAATAAATGGAGTTTTAACACAGCCTTCAGTGAAGTGTGCCACTATAATCAAATGCAGTATTTTGTTAGAGAAAAACTACCGAAGGGAAAATTGATGCAAATTTTGGTGAAATATATGGTCAAAGGATTTGGAGACAATTTACAAGGAGAACGTACCGATTATTTTATTTCATAATGCACGAAATGTCTTCAGTCTCTCCGTTTAGCGACAAATTTTTGCGGAAAAATACAGTAATGTCAAACGAATTTTCGTGAAAAAAATGTGTAGTCAAATGTATTCGCGCAATTTTCATCGAACGCTATCAGATGCAGTATTACAAAGAAGGAACAAACTTCAAGCCCCGATTTTTCCATTTTATTTTAGCTTGAAATACGATGAAACTTTATTTTAAAGGCATGGATCCATTCATAAGTATACTATTATGAACAGTTCGGAAAATCTTTGGTTATTGTAAGTATCTTTAAGCTACTGAATGTCTGGGTCTGCAAATTCATGGCACATGCCAGAAAAAAATTACAGAGCAAATGAAAAAAGTTTCTCTGAACTGAAATGCAGTATATTGTCAACGTGTTGCGAATTTTAAAAAAATGTATTGGTCAAAATAAATTGTCTCCGAGTTTATTGATTGTCGAATTATATTCTTCCATATGAAATAAATTTACCTTCGTGCGGCAGTTTTTCACATTTAATCTTATGCAAGCATTTTCTGACCCCTAGGATTTTTAAAATTCCATTAATATTGTCATCAACCAGAAATCGCCGGGTATATAGGAATACTGTATACACAGATCATTGATTCGATTATTTTCTACTTCTTATCATTCTGCTTTCAATTGGGTGCAACAATGAAACTGGGCCAAAATGAAAGTTTGACCCGCACCAAAGGCGAGTTTCCTTTTCCTCTCTTCCAACAAAAGACCGTGTACATAAACACTCAGCGATAAGCATTACTTTTTTCGATTGATAAATTCCTCTACCCGAATTTTCCTTTTCATGCAACCAGAACGAAACGAATATGTACGGTATTGTGTGGGGTCAATCAGATGAAACAAACTTATGCGACTGCAAACATTAAAATAAAGACAATACTTGACGGAAAAATATAATGAAGCCCTTCGAAACGTGGAAAAAGTCTGTCGTCGAAGGGAAATAATTCTATGGCCGAATATTCTGCTTTTTCTCACTTTCTTTCGTGTAACCCCGGGCTGTGAAAGCTGAATTTTTGAGTTTCGTGAAAGTGAGCTCGGTGAGCGAGCGAAACCTGGCACCTTATCGGCATTCGAACTAATTCTTTCCTTGCTTCAGAAGTTTATGAAAATCTTTCCCGAACACCATGAAGTTGTAAAGTTTACTAAATATGAATGTGTGCACTTTTTTTTTGCGATCAACCGAGCGTCAATTGTTGGCACGTGCGAGGGTGGAAACAATGCAAATAAAAAGCGAGCTGCAGTTATTTTTGAAAAATGTTCCACGAAGAAAAGGTAATTTCTGAACAAACAAAAAATACGCATACAAATTTTACAAAGTTTCCTGATTCTGAAAAAGTGCGCGAAAATTTTACAAGAACACTGTCGGATCAATTCAAGTCAAGTACTGAAGTTTTATGAATTATTATTGGCTCTCGGGGGTATTTAATTTCTTTCCTGCGAAAAAAATTCAATACTGCCGAAAACATGAGCAGCGTGTATCGATTTTTACCCCTAAATATAGTGCCGCTTATTATGCTGAATTGATAAAAGAGGAAAAAATTGTGTTTGTTTTTTAGCAGTAGGTAGTTTTTGAAGGAAAGTGTGCAAAGGTTCGAATTGTGGATATGATCTGCGGACGCGTTTTGCTCGTCGGCGCGGTTGCTGTTTTGGCAGCAATCGGCAATGCAAGAGAAGTGCCGAATCGCAGAAATGCTCCTCATCATCGTAAGTCCTTTCCCCGCAAAATATTGTTTTTAATTGAATCGATGTTATATTCCGATACAGTTCATCCTTTCGATTCAGCAAAATTCCTGCAATAATACTACATATATTTATAAAATAAAGAGTGATGCTGATTACACAGTATTTTCAAGAAAACCTTGAAATGCTCCAGGAGGTCGGAAAATGATTCCAAATTCAAAGAAAAGAAGATAAAAATTTCATTTACGCGAACATTCAGAAATTTCACCTGCAGTTGATCGACCGTCCGAATGATATAAAATATACTAAATTGCTCTTCATATAGCGCATTAATTCCGAATGCAAAAAAATAAAATAGCAAACAAGTGACCTCGATTTCCATTGATGCGTGAGAATTTCCGCGATTTCATCTCTCAAATACTCATTTCTAAATTTCAACGTTCAAGTACCAAAACAAAAAAGGTGATGAGTTGTTCAATGAAGCGATTAAACACATATTGTATCAATTTTATTTCCGGAGTTCGAATGTTCTTCTGTCCTCTGTTGTCTCAATATTTAAAATTAATTTCAATTCGAACTTTATTATTTTAATTTGTATAGTATATACTTTCATTCCACATTTGTTTTGTCTTCACCAAATTAATGGCTCTGTTGTGAAAATTATATCGTTCACGTACTTAAATCTTCGTCAGCACATAATTTTTTCCGGTTTCCGAAAAAACGAGACAGTTTAAAAAAAAATCTCTTGTCAACAACGAAAGGATTTTCATGCCCGAATTTTAAAAAAAAACAAAAAAGAATCGGTCTGAAGCATGGAAAGAATGAAATCCTCTAATAACACTGAGAAGAATTTTCAGTAATTAAAGGCAATTCAAAAAATATATACCGTGTATAAAAGCAATGGATTTTCTGGTGAATTGAATGAAAATTCAACCTCTTCAGTCACGATCCCATTATTGGTCTGAAGCATTCATTCATTGCGATTTTCTTACTTATTGACAATGCATGACTTATTTCGACTGGAAAAGGAATTTCATGCTTTCTGATATTGTTCCCCATTAAAATCCCCTATCCTTCATATGCGCTATTTTTTGGTTCTCTCTCTCTCTCTCTCTTTCCAGAAGACATGAAGGCCTACAATAGCCCATTCAATTTGCGTCAGTCAGCCGAAGTGCCTCGTTACACCGCCAATAGTAACGAGAGTCCTGAGGGCGCCGGTCAACCCGACGGACCGTACTACGCTGGACAAGCCGAGTGAGTCAAATTTACTCAAATTCCGAGATAAATTCAAAAGAACATATGACAAGCAGACGGGAATGACATCTGAGCAAATGAAAAACGCCCCATTCCTCGGGTGTACACAGATAAGCTCATACAACAAAGGCGAAATGGTTATCGCTGCTTTTTTGCATGCAATCATGCGGTTGAACCCCAATAACGCGTTTTCGGAGTGAATACTGTACAGGTGGACTGTCTAATATCTAGAAATACTGTATAAATTATCTGCGTAACGAATTATGTTTTGTTCCCGTAAGGTTCTATCCTCATGATATTATAGGCGGAATTCTTTCTACAACGCAATATTTTTCTGGTATAGTCAATTGAATTTCGTTTCGAAGAAAGTCCGCCTTCATTGTAAAATATGGAAACGTTTTTTTCATTTTTCGTGAAAGCACTGAATGCATTCCAGCTGTATTGTTTGAAATAACGCGATTTTAGGTGACCTGAAAATGTTTTGCGTCACAATGTGAAAAATAAATTAAAAGTTCCTCTTTTTCAAAGTCTGCTGGATAAACTGAAAAAAAGCGAATATATTGAAACGTAAAAAACGCTATAAAACGCGTTCTCGGCTTTGTTTTTGGTTCGAACAGGCTTATTATTGCCTTCAAATTTTTCACACGCTGTGAAGTATTTGCAATGGTATTGCTTACTTCGGCGGAAAAAAAGTTATATATAATACTGTACCATATTTCTTCTGTCTTGATTTCAAAAATTTCAAAAACTGGAAATTATTTCCCCCCACATAGTTTTCCCCGCTTTGAATTGTGAAAGGAGTCTTTCGAAATCGCTCAGCCGTATGAAAAGATTCTGAACTGCGGACTCCGTCTGGAATTTCAAGGAGGAAAATCAATTTTACAAATTTAGGAAAGCGAGACAGCCTTTCGAATAACAATACCTGTATAAGGAGTCGCCATCAAAAGCAGTTCGTCTGTGAAAAGTCTTAAATAAGATGACAATGGTGTGCAACTTTTCAACCGAAATCATCAACACATCTCGTGAACAATGCTTTTGAGAGAAGGGTTTGTAAATTTTCAGGTTAAAAATGTTCAAAAATCAACCTGTCAAAAGTTTTCATCGCTCATTTAAACCGTCAGATTTATGGTAATTTCATTGCAAAATTGTGAAAAAGATTCTGTAATGTGTTTATAGGAATTTTATTGGGTTCAAGCACGTAACATACCTGTGTAAAATACAATTATTTTGAAGTACCATCACAATTTTTAAAATACCGATCCAAGAATCGATTAAAATTCTCTAAAAATTAGAACAGTATATTCAGTGCTTCATTGATTACTGAATTTGATAAATTCACTGTTTCCTTTATCTAACTCTAAATTCTGGAACCAAACGCATTCTACTTGTATAGTATAAGAGCAAGAATAAAGCTTGCTGGACTCAACAAGTCGTCAACTTCCTTTTTTGGTCGTAATTTTAAGGAAAGTTTGAAACGGGTGTCAAACATGGTTTTAAGACACAGCTGTATCAAGGAACTATGCTCATTCGGTACATGGAATACTTTTTTTATAATTCTGAGACGCTGTTTTAACGGATATAATTTCAATCATTTACGCATGTAGAAATATATTGCGACTCGCGTGATGCAAGAAGCTACTTCCAGTGTTCTAGCATTCAATCTCAGGGAGGTATAAAGGATACATGAGTCGCTAAAAATTTCAAAATGTAACAAATGAAAAATTTTTGAAAATGTTGAGATGGTGATGAATTCTTAGGCACTGCATATACGAGTATATACAGATGGTTTAAAAGCCATTTTCATTTTCTATTCCTTTTGATAGTTGAAAATTGAGCCGAATTAAGATCAACATACGCATTTAATTGCCATCGCATCATTTCGAGTGTAGTTCACATGACTGAAACTGAATATTTCACTGAATGCATTTGTTTTTCTCTGGATCGCAAAAAATACGCGGAAATACTGTTTTACATACTGTATGAAAATAAATATATACGCGTGGACTCCCTCATCTAAATCGAAATCAAGGGACGAGAAGAAAAATGCTGCAAAAATAATTTTGTTCCATAGAGTTCTTTTGATTTCGTTTGTAAAAAAAATACGATGAATAATCCCGTATCTCTCTATATATATACAGTATATGAAACGGAATTCAACGGAAACGAAAACAAATATTTTTGCTAATAATTTCGTTGAAGAGATCCCTTATATAGTGAGAAAACCGTATGGGACCACAAAAAAATGTTGTTTATTACAGAGAAAATCTTTCTAAATGGACAAGATCGTTATTGCAGAAAAAAAAAATCCACCTGTACTGTGTCTGTACTGTACATATGAACTGGTATTTTTGCAGTGAGGCACCCGATGATTATGCGTCCTACGATCAAGAAGAGCAGGCGGAGAATTCTCAAAAGGGGTCGCCGTATTATTTTGAAGTACCATCACAATTTTTAAAATACCGATCCAAGAATCGATTAAAATTCTCTAAAAATTAGAACAGTATATTCAGTGCTTCATTGATTACTGAATTTGATAAATTCACTGTTTCCTTAATCTAACTCTAAATTCTGGAACCAAACGCATTCTACTTGTATAGTATAAGAGCAAGAATAAAGCTTGCTGGACTCAACAATTTGTCAACTTCCTTTTTTGATCGTAATTTTAAGGAAAGTTTGAAACGGGTGTCAAACATGGTTTTAAGACACAGCTGTATCAAGGAACTATGCTCATTTGGTACATGGAATACTTTTTTTTTATAATTCTGAGACGCTGTTTTAACATATATAATTTCAATCATCTACGCATGCAGAAATATATATTGCGACTCGTCGCGTGATGCAAAAAGCTACTTACAGTGTTTTAGCATGGAATCTCAGGGAGGTAAAGGATGCACGAGTCGCTAAAAATTTCAAGATGTAGCAATTTAACAAAAAACTCAACTCAAAAATTTCCTAATGACAAATTTTTGAAAATTTTGAGATAGTGATGAATTCTTAGGCACTGCATGGTTTTAAAGCCATTTGCATTTTCTGTTCCTTCTGATGGCTGAAAATTGAGCCAAATTAAGATCAACATACGCATTTACTTGCCATCGCGTCATTTCGAGTGTAGTTCACATGACTGAAACTGAATATTTCACTGAATACATGTATTTTTCTGTGGATCGCAAAAAATACGCGGAAAATACTGTTTTTACATACTGTATGAAAATAAATATATACGCGACGACTCCCTCATCTAAATCGAAATTCAAGGGACGAGAAGAAAAATGCTGCAAAAATAATTTTGTTCCATAGAGTTCGTTTGATTTCGTTTGTAAAAAAAAAATACGATGAATAATCCCGTATCTCTCTATATACAGTATACAACGGAATTCAACGGAAACGAAAAAAAAATATGTTTGCCAATAATTTCGTTGAAGAGATCCCTTATATAGTGAGAAAACATTATGGGACCACAAAAAAATGCTGTTTAATACAGAGAAAAGCTTTCTAAATGGACAAGATCGTTATTGCAGAAAAAAAATCCACCTGTACTGTGTCTGTACTGTACATATGAACTGGTATTTTTGCAGTGAGGCACCCGATGATTATGCGTCCTACGATCAAGAAGAGCAGGCGGAGAATTCTCAAAAGGGGTCGCCGTTCGGAGGCCCGTCCGGCGCCGACGACAGCCAAGAGGTGGAAGACACCCAGGGCGACGGCGGCCAAGGCGGCAATCAGGGCGCCGACGGCAGCGATTACAGCTTCCGCGACGAACCCTTCCCGGCGGACATTGCCTTCAACTTCGAGGGCCAACTTCCGGGTGAGTCGTCTCGCACTTTTTCTCTCACTGTCTGTTTCTCCTCGGTATATATATATATATATATATATATAACATACGCTGAACCCGAAAAAGAAAAAGGCCCCACTACGGCAGGGATCGACTCTCGAGCCCCAAGGCATCGACCCAGTTCCGCATCGTTCGAACGAGGCGACCAACAAAAAAGAAAAGAAATTGGGTCGAATATCACACCAACTATATACTGTGTCAGCTCATATGCATCAGTGCATGCTTTTTTATTTTTATTTTTGGGTATTACGAGGAATATATAAGGGACTGCTGCCCAGGTGACCTGTTGGGCTCCGCGGACCAAATCTTCGTTCGTACAACAAGTGATATTACCCCACAATTTAAAAAAAATAAAGTTTAAAAATACAGAACCACTTGAGAGTTTCACGAAACATTTCCCAGGAGCTTTACAGTGAGTCCCCGCATAACGAAAGACTCACACAAGGAAAAACCTTGCATCCCGAAAATTATTTGGAGGAAAAACGTGACTCACATAACGAAATTGTTTCACTCGACGGAACCTCTTTGCTTCTGGAAAACACTCCAAGACGTCGGCAATTTTTGGAATATAACACAGTTGGAAAGTTTAAAAAAAAATTGAGGGAAATCATACAAAAGGGTGTATTTTCAGCTCTTGTTGCCTTTGGAAGTTGTAAAAATTTAGAAAGGTAATAGCCCAAACTTGTCAGGATCACCCAAATTCGACACGACGCATCAATTTTAAATTCACGAACTTGTGCTGAAACCAAGAATAATATGCAGTTATTCAGATTTTTTTGGGCTTTCCGGAAGTTACTAATAGAACGAACTGCTTAATTTAAAATTTATCCTTGAAGAGAAATCAAGTTTCGCAATACGAAAATTCGAAAAACCCAAAACGCATCCAGGAACAGATTAGTTTCGTTATGTGCGGACGACCCACTGCTGTTATTGGTCAGGAGATAGTTTAAAAATTGGCGGAATCTGAATATTTGCATCATCGAAGGGAGAACCTAAATCCTTATCATTAATATTTTACTTACTTCACGTATCGCTTTATTACTCGCGAATTAACCCACATTTGATATTAATCTTGCATTTTCAAAGAATTATATGTTGAGCGCAACTTGCGTAAAATATAAATCTCAAAATATTCGTACATGCAGGTAGTTTTATTCTCGATTTATTTTCGTTATCTTTAATTGGAATTAAAATCAGTTGAACAAAATTTAAAAGCGATCATTTCTTTCTCCAATGCTGGGCATCACTCATTTTGAGTGGAGAAAAAGTTGAACGAAAGTAGAACTCCGGGTTTCCATTATTCATTGATTATATTTTGATTCATTGCGAGAGGAAACGAAGTGGCCTCGATAATTTTAAGGCGTCGACCGATTCAATGCCCTCACGGTCAAATAATTAAATCTAATTCAAAACTGTAACATATTGATGCAGAATCATTATTCTCTGCTGTATTGCAATTTTTAAAAATGTATTTTACCGTATGAAGTATTCGAGTGAGCCTCATTAAAGACAGCCAAAAGTTTCGGAGTTGTACTGCATTACGCGTTATAAGATTTTCCTATACTGTACTTTTAATATTCCACGAAGAACAAACGCATTTGTTTCAATTTTTTATTGTTGGCCTGTCTTTATCACTTGAAGGTGCGTAAGGTGCTCATTTTCTCAATGAAAGAATTCGTAAACGGTTAAAATCAATAATAATCTACATCGGTGTGACTTCGGGAAGAACAAAATAATTAATCATCATGGTTTCGCCACTTGATGGAAAATGGGGTTTTCAATCACGGCCTATATATTTACAACACATATGCGGTAGAAAGTATAAGATGCATTTGGATATAAACACACGTATCATCAGCAGGATTCGGTGCTTGCTCTTCAATTAACCTGGCCATTTGCAGTACGAGTAAGTATATACACAGCAGAGCTTCCGGACATCTGAAAATACTGTGTATATATTATATAATATATATGGAGAGAGAAATGTACCCACCAGCGAAACGAAAGGAGGACGCGACGAATGTTCTAGATGAAAAGGGCACTTTTACGTATAGAGTAGGTCGAGCATCAAAAGACCTCCTTATGAGGCAAACCCATCATTAGTGTCCTTTCACCAGCTGACTTGCGTCGCGAATCAGTAGAAGAATTGACAAAGGACGCGGTCATCAACAACAACGACGACGACGACGACGACGACGACGACGGTGAGGATGTCGACAGCCGTCATCGTCGCCAAGCACGGAACGTTCGCAGCGTCCAGAGTGTGGACGCCCCCACGGTTTACCGTTTCCTGCCACCAGCGTCGCCTTCGGCCTTCCTCGACGGACGCCTTCAGCAGCAGCAGCAGCGGGACTCTCGACAGCAGTCCGACGTGGTGGACGACGCGGCGTCCGTGGCGACCAGCGGCGACTCGGGCATTTTCAACGTGCCCGGCCGCCTCATGGACTACCTCCGCCGGTCCACGTTCAACTTCCTCGGGTTGTTCAACCGCCAGACCGAGGACGGGAACGGCGGCAGTGTCGACGACGTCCAGGGCAACGATGACGACGACTTCGTGCCGGAGTTGGCCGCCGTGCAAGCCCTTGCCACCGACGCGTTTGCGTCGGACGTCGAGCGAGACGTCGACGATTACCGCGACAACGGCGGCATCAGTGGCGTTGGTGGCGGCGGCCCAGCCGACAGCTTAGAGCCACAGTCTCTGTCGTCGTCGGTGTTTTACGACCCCTCGGCCACCGACTCTCTGATGACGACAGAAAACGTCAATAACGAGGCAGCCACGGCTGTTGACGCCGAGGACCCGACGGGCACAAGGTCGAGACCCGATGAGAATAACCCACGAGACCCAGTTTCTGCTGCTGCTCTTTGTCGCCGCATCATGTCGCAATCGTCGTCGTCGTCAGCAGTGCCGTCTCCACAGCTCGTCGTCCCGCGTCGGGATCGCGACTGCGCAGAAGCCCTGTTCTACGACGACGCGTCCCAGTCGCTGTCGACAATAACACCCTATGACGAGAGGGAAAACTATGAGCAGGAAAACGAGCAACGAGGCAACAGTTACGCGGAAGCATCGCCGACGACGAAAAACTCGAAGTCTTTCGCGTCCTACGACTCTTTGTCCCACGACGATGACAAGCAAAAAGATGCCGACGACGAATACGAAGACGACGACGACGACAACAACAACAACAACAACAACGGTAATCGTCAAGGAAGACTCGTTAGTCCCTCTGATGATACTGTTGGTGACACGGCTACTGCTGCTGCTGTCGGCTATTCTGACAACGAAGGCAACGAAGACGACGACAGGGACGCCCAGGCAGCGGCAGATGACGGCGCCGTCGAAGAGGATTCGACGACGGGACCCCGTCTCCGGCTACCAAACGGCGCCACCGGCAGTAATAACGACGATGACGGCGGTGGCGGCGGCGAAGAAGAAGAATCGTCCACCGGCATGCCCCCAAACGACGCCTGGGACGATCAGTCCGACGAGAATAGGGACCAGGACCACGTAATCACGATCCCGTCTCAGAAAAAAGTCGCGAATAAAAAGAGGCCCGAGACCGGGGTTTCCCTCGAGGACTGGATCGGAGACCCGAGAGAAGGGTTCCAAGAGTTCGAAGTGTACCGACTCGCGCCGAACTCCAACCCTAGGTTCGACTCGTCGTCTTCTTACGCGAAAGCTATGAATAAGAAGAAGAAGAAGCGAAGGAAGGAAGAACACATGATGGAAACATCCCAGTCGGGTGACGACGAGAGGAGGAACCCGGCGTCATCGTTATTTGACGATGTTCCCCCGGGGTTCCAGGACGAGCACCCGTTAAGAGTTGCCGGCAGACCCAAGTCAAAGGAATACGGACTCGGGCTCTACGGCTTCAAACCCGTCCCCATCGAGAATGCCTTCAGGATATACGAAGACGATTACACTGAGAACGTCGTGAATGACGATTATCCTGTCGAGATGAAAAGAAGCGCGGCGACGATCAGGGATCATACTTCTGGTGTCAAACCCGAGCCCTCCTTATTATCGGCAAAGACGACGAAGCATGGCCGCCAAGGTCCGCGTTGGTCCCATCAGCAAAATAATAAACAACATCGTCGTCAGAAACGTCAGGCATTTTCCATTTTCAATCCCGACGACGAGGATTTCAGGAATTTCGCTTCTCCCGCGATGCAATTTCCTCGCGGGACTCAAAAGAATCAACGACACCGTGACGTAATGCCACCAATCAGGTTCCCTGCGTCGGTGTCATCGTCGCCGTTTTCGCAGCATACCGTCGTCAGGAATCCAGCAGTAGCTGACGATTACGACGCGAGTTCAGAGCAGTTCCGGTTCTGGTCGGATCTAAAGAACCCCGGGACCGGATATGACTCGAATGACGACGAATCCTCGAAACAACAGCCGGAATTAAGCGGCGAGGAACTTCCTCGTCATCATCCGGGTCAGCTGCAGAACGCGGAAGCGACTCTGTTCCGAGAGGACTTCCTGAATTACTACCAGCAGCCACGCCAACAGGATTATGTTGTGGGTGCTGCTAATGCTGGGGTAGTGCGGAAATTCATCCGACAACCGGTCGGGCCGACAGGAAGCGACGAGTTCGTCGAAGCGCCGACTTTCGGACTGGGTCCTAATCAAATGCAGGACCAGCATCAGCTGCAACACGGGAGACGAAGTTCTCCTCTCTATCCGTCAGCAGGTACAGAAACCAAAAGTAATTGATGGGATGAAGCCAAAGTCCGATCAACAGCACGGAATGCGGAAGTTGCACGCTTGAACATCAGCAATAACTGCCTGGGAATTTGCACTCGAGAAAACGAGAGACCCCAAGGTATTCCTGCGTGTGCGCTTTTTTTTTCAGGGCCTGCGGCGACGACATATCGTAACATCACTTTATTATCACGCCGTATTTATGCGAATATCAGACGCCAAATTATTCGAAAAATTGATTTTTACATATCAGTTTCCTGAAACTATATAAAAGCAAAATAATTTCCTAGATGATCGGGATTCTATATCACATGGTGGCTTAGAAGATTTTTCCACTTCTACATATACTGTATGTCTGAGAATTTAATTACGGAAGTCTCCATTTTAATTCGTGAATCGCTCAAGTGTTACCATCCTGACGAATTCTTCCATATTCTCCTGAAAAAATTGTGAAAGGATGAAAATAATTATTGAATCAGTTTATGTTTTACCTGATACAATGTCATTGATTTCAAAATAATGGAATGGCTATCTTCGCTTTGATAAATGATTTCAGCTCGGCAATGCAAAAATTCTCGATTTCGTCCATCAGAAGAAAAATTACACAAAAATCGTATTTCTTCTCAAAACCAGTGGTGTCTGTTCCCTTTCAGAAATAAAAAAGATATTACAGTACTGTGTAAATTTATAGAAAAATTTTCTTTTAATTTCCGTACAAAAATGGCTTTACTTTTAATAGAATATTCAATTGAATAAAAAAGGAGCAAACTGGATTTCTCGTTTCTTCGCGGGAGAGCTGTTGGCGAAGATCAGAAGAAAGTTTCCGAATTTCAAGTGACTATGACTAAACAAACATGTTATTGCGATAATGATGTGTGCAGTATAAAAGAACACTAAAATATCAATTAAAGTTCATACCGATAAACATATTGAAAGAAAATACGGCTCTTTGAATATCGACAGGAGAAGCGTTTTTATGTGTTGGAACTTAGAACTGTTATTTGCTTGTCGAGTCATTTTTAAAGGTTTTTTGTTAATAGCAGTCACTTGAATGAGTACAACTCTCGACTTCTAAAGACATTGGCATTTTTAATATTAATTTTCTATAAGCTGCCATTGATTTTTATAATCGTAATGATTTTTTTTTACGAAATCTGAAAAACGGCGTCTGATATTGGCTTGAAAGCGGTGTTTTCCCTTTTTTTATTCGGCAATCTAATCAGCAATTGCTTCATTAACATCACAAGAGCCACGGTCACCTGGGAAGCAAATTGAGCGAACCCGCGCCACAATTGAGAAAGGCTCTTTCTCTTCACCGCCTGATTCACTAATTAACATTTTGAAATGAATCGGATCATTTCGTCACGACGATTTCACGCCAATATTTCAGGCAACATTTCAGGAAGTATTCTTGCCCGGTTTTTTTTTATGCTCCACATACTCTTCGAGCGGGGCTGGATTGCGAAATTTCGAGTTGGCGCCAAAAACGTCGACTTTGCTGAAAAATTCGCCCACTTTTGGGCAGAAAGTGTGACGCCTTGAGGGACTTCGCGAATTTTTGCGGATACGCCGCATGCTTCTCAAGGTTGCAGAAAGTTTGCAATGTTTTCTGAAATTTCTCAACTCTGCATTTTTCGGACTTGAGGGCTTTCATTAATGTGCGACTGCGCTTTGAAGTAGATACGCTGCTATCTGAATAAGCGAAGATTTTTTTTGTTTTTAGCACACAATCATGGTGAGAATATAGCTTTATATACAGCCAAGGTCTTTTGTAGCAATATTTGCCACCCGTTGGAGATAAAATGCAAATTTTTGGCCTCCGAAATTCCCCTCATAATCTTACCCCTATACTTCTCTCTGAAATTAGATTTCCGAACGTTTTCACCTTTATTTTCATTTTTAAATCGCTTCTTTCTGAGCGATGATTTCAAAGAAAAAGGTAAGAATATTTTCCGATTTGTTCTTGCAATGTTTTTGCCACAAACCATCAAAAGTCGTTGAATGATGTGTCATAATAACTACGAGTCATGCCATAATAACGCGAGGACGAGGAAATCACGCCGTGTAAAAACCTCGCAGTTTGAAAATGAAATATTCACGATAAACATCTTTCAAAGGTTTTGATTCAATTTCCGAAGACGTCATTTTACGCAACTGTTTTCCTCGATCAAGTCAATATTTTCCACTCATCCTGCAGTGAAAAATTGCGTGAGGGTTCATCTTTTTCTTATGCTGGGATGAAATTCTTCGACCGTAATTTTGCTTGATGGAAGTAATACTCAGCGATGAATTAGTAAAGAAAATTGCCTGACATATGTTGGAGAACACGAAGTCAGAAGAGCAACATTGCATACAATAAACGAGGGATTTTGTGTGAAACTTGCGTGAATTGTAAATGAATCGAAAGAATGATGAACTGAAAAAAAAAGTTGTTCTTCGCATAAAAGCCTTACATACTCGTAAAAAGCAGTGAATTTCCACATTTCATGATTTTTCTCACTCGTGATTCTGCGAACTTTTGATTTTTCTCTCAGGTTTTATGTCATCTCACGTGAAGTTGCGCACTTCGGTTTTGTTTTGTTTTTTTTCGACGTCACTCGCTCCTGTTTTCCTTCATTTCATGCCAAACACGAAAACTAACATTCGGCAGAGATTTTCCGGGCAGAGCTCGATTATTTTCATTTGCAGGTTTTACCAACCGCGGATGTTGTCATTTTCTCGCAATTTTCTACAGAGATCAGCGACGCAGAAGCGCAGAAATCAAACGGATTCATTTCCGGAGTTCCGCAAAACTTCCCTTCGCTGAATGATTTCAATGCTTTTTCGGGAAAATTCGACGACGCAGGTGAAGCAGGTCAGCAACAAGGTGGTGAGTAGCTTATGTTTCAGTACTGTTCTCTGAAATACTGGTCCTCAATATACTGGAGCAGTGAAGCGAGTCAGCGGAAATTAAAAGCTTGCTGTGCGCTTCCACAATGTGCGTCTTGATGAGGAAACCGATGTTAGGCACAAATATCTTTTAATTAACATAACCTGACCTAACCTAACTTGACCTAACCGCCTCCATGTTATGTTAGTTGCAAATATCTTTTAATTAAAATAACCTGACCTAACCTAACTGCCTCCCATCTCTCCTCCACTTTCCGACCTATGGGTTCAGACGAAGGATCGCCCATCGGCAACGGGAACAATGCCTCAGACCAGGGCTCTGATTACGAGGACTCCGCCGGCGGCCAAGGCGACGACCCCAGCTTCAACTCGCCTTCCTTGAACAGCCCACCGGCGCCCGTCAGGTCAAGCTATGGCCAGCAAGTCGGGTCATTCCGCGGGCAGCAACGTTCGCAGCAGAAGCGCCACCAGCAGCACCTCCGCTCAACCCACTACCAACCTGGCATGCCATCCTCTCATGGAGATTCTGTGAGTTCTCCTGTTTCTTTCGTACACGAAAAATAGAAAAATGCAGTTGGAATCTCTGCACTTGGCTGTACAACGATAAAGTCGAGGGACGAGAAAGAATTCTTTGCGTATTATAGAGAGGATTTCATAGTACAAAATCCCTGTAACATGTGGACGAGACAGTTGGGAGACAGACTCCTGTATATCATGGAACCAAAATTAATAATTCGTTACATGGAGAATTTCTTTGTACTGTACGAAAGATTGTTTGTCGACATAGTCCACCAGTAATAATATCGTTTACTATCGATTGTTAACCCGTCACCATCAAGGAAAGCACGCACCTCGATTTTTCACCCTACATTTTTGACGAGATCATCCTAACCCCCAATAAAAGTAAGACACGCACCCGATTTTTAGGTACTGCTGAAAAACTACAATATTTTCCACAAAAAAAAGCGACACCAGAATCCGAATTACAACCATACATTCAACCTGAATGGAATTACTTTTCAAATTTTTATTCTGATTTTTAAAAGTTCCTGTGAAATTTTTTTCATTACATATATTCAAGTGAGACTCAGACCTAAAATTCCCGAATTTTTTGAAAATTTTATCCCCGCCATCCTCCCTTTTCCTCTCAATTTTAAGAAACAATTTGCGCGTGTTACTCAATAATAAGTAAGCACAGTATTAATAGAAGGGAAGAGCTCTGAAAATAACCGGCAAAAATATTGAGGACGATTGTGAAAATGAAAAGGGCTTTCTCAGAAATAATCAATGAGTCAGAGAAAATTTTTAGCCTTTCCAACGAGAGGAATTCAGGAGATGGTAACATTTCTCAGTGTGAAGCAAAATTTTTGATCCGATTCAACCGGTTTTTCCGAAAGGTTCAAATGTGGCATTCTACTGTACAATTCGCTCTGAACTGGTTCTTTTTTTTTTTAGTTCGAATGTTGTTTTTGTGTTTTACAGTTTGTTAATGCACGTGACACAGTTTTCCTTTTTTTACTAAAATCCGTAAGCTAAAGTTTTCCAGAAAACTTTCATGACCCTCATGCCTTACGAATATGCTTTCATGATAACCTGTGATGTACAGTATTTTGAGTTGAATTTAAATTTTTTCTCATGTCATTTTCGAGAACTGGTAATTATGACTCTCCATTGCTTGGAGCGAACTTTTCAACCATTGAATATCTGCATGGCTGAGTTTTTTAGAAAGTTTCATTTCCCAAGATTTCAACAAATTTATAAGAATACTTTTTTTAATTAACTGATCTTACACTAAAAAGAAAAATGGCCATGAAATTTGAAAATCGACCGGAAAAATCAAGCTGTTGGTAAAAAAAATACCCTTTTTCAGCAGACTGATGTTCGTTTCCCTGAAAAGGGATTATTTAAACTAGAACAAGCTCTCGTACATTACGCAAAAAAATAATTAACAAAGTCATTCCTTTTCGTTGTAGACAATGTGTACGGCCAACAAAAAGCGACACTTGCTGAAATAATAATTGAATAAGAAAGAACTGATCGAATGGAGAAAAAAAAGAAAGGTTGCCACCCACTTGGTGAAAGTTTGACGATTAAACCAGCTGCTGCATAAAAATTGGACCGGTCACGTGAAAAAGTAATGAAGTTTGGAGTTAAGTGGACTCCGGGAAAGTTGTTCTATACTGGCTTAAGTGGGCAAAAACCCGTTGCTAGAAACTTACCGAAGCACTTTGTGGGAAGTTTATTATTCAAAAGCATTAAATGCATTGGTAGCTTTTGACAAAGGTCGTACTGAGTATTTCATAACCTTGCGTAAGCCTTAGCTGACGTACTGCAGAATTTTCCTCAATAATACGAAGAAGATAAATGGCAAAACAGTTTTAATTCATGTTTTCTCGCTGCTTTCACGACATCAAATTTCCAGCCCGGAATCGGACGCCATTATTGGTATGGATTAATAAGATTCCCGGATCAAGAAAGTGAAAGATGGCGTCAATTTCGATAGATTATTCAGGCTGATGAGATTCTTCTGGGTTTTTTTTTCTTTCTCGACCCTGGCATAAAATATTTTCGACATGAATATGCTGTAAGACCTAATGGACACAATGTTCAATTTACATTATTTTAAGCGCTCTGAAACTGTTCGTTAATTTAAAAGTGGAGGTGCACTTATTTAGATAAGTCCCAATCAAGTGTCACAGAAAAAAAATTGATGTCAGCAAAAAGGAGGTCCGATTAACTCACAAAAGAGGGAATTTCAACAGATGCCATTAATATATTATTGCAGTTGCCATGTCACAAAAACTAATTTCGAGAATATTATCAAATAAAAAGATGCTCTAAAAAAAACTTGAAAAGCTTCTTCCATTTCAATGTCAACTGTATACTGCGTAGTTGAACAAAAAATTATCTCTAGCCCGGATGGAGTTGATTGGGTGAATCAGAGATCAACTCCAATCATTGAGAGCCAATAATCATTATACTTCGTCCAAAATATATTTTCTAGATGTGACCTTACTTATTCGCGGATTCCTTGATTTTGAATGCGTTCCTTTTTAATGTTTTCCGCCATATGCGTCGCCATGAAGCAGAGCAGCGAAATCCATATACAGTGGACGATGAAATCGAAGGGTTGAATTATTTCAAGGTCGGTTGCCCGGTTGGAAGTGCGTGATCTGCTTTTTAAATGCGATGAGAAAAGACGGGAATTTTGTTTTAAAATTAGTATATATTTTAGGAATCGTTTTTGTTGAAAATTACATAAATCATCTTCAAATTCGTGGAACAGAACACAAATGGCCAAGGTTGCATTCAAACTATGAATTTTCAAATGATAATTATAGAATCATGGCAAAGTCTGGATTTGGATGAATGTGTGTCATTCACTATTCACACATGGTAGCATTTTTTGAGAACTTCATGCATAAAATGTTTCATTATTCCTCAAACGCGTTTCAGCTCAACTCCCGATGGGATGGAATGAGATTTGAGTCTGCCATCTATTTTAGTACTGTATACAGAAGAGCATGAAATATGCAGGTGGAACCTCGCAATTTGACCTCCTGCAATTTGACAGTCAAATTTGCAGGAAGGTTGACTTGCAATATGACGTCCCTTGCCCCAGTTTGACCCATATTTTGTGTTCCCAACCCATGGTCTGCAGACTGACACTGGTCTCCAGACGTTTTTTTTTTTCTCTTTGGTCTGCAGGAAATTTTTAGCAAAATAAATTCATCAAAAGTAACAATGAAGTGTCTGTTCTGCTTATCTGAAATTTTGGAACGAAAATGTCAGTTGAAATTATTTGATGAAAAAAGTTGGATTTTCTTCTAATAACACTTCAGCCAAATTTTTACCAGATGAAATCGGTTATTTTAATTGGTTGATTTTGAGGAAATTTTCTTCAAGCTGAACTTTCTAATCTTTTGTTTCCTTTCAATTACAGCTGATCCATTGGTGCTCAATTTAATTTGTGCAAGAAGCAGAAACTGTTCAATTTCCTGCCATGAAGTCTTTCAATCAAAAAATTTTTGAGTCTGCAAAAATTTGATGAAACTTTGCTGGACCTCAGAAAGATTTTTGTGAATTTNACTAAAATCCGTAAGCTAAAGTTTTCCAGAAAACTTTCATGACCCTCATGCCTTACGAATATGCTTTCATGATAACCTGTGATGTACAGTATTTTGAGTTGAATTTAAATTTTTTCTCATGTCATTTTCGAGAACTGGTAATTATGACTCTCCATTGCTTGGAGCGAACTTTTCAACCATTGAATATCTGCATGGCTGAGTTTTTTAGAAAGTTTCATTTCCCAAGATTTCAACAAATTTATAAGAATACTTTTTTTAATTAACTGATCTTACACTAAAAAGAAAAATGGCCATGAAATTTGAAAATCGACCGGAAAAATCAAGCTGTTGGTAAAAAAAATACCCTTTTTCAGCAGACTGATGTTCGTTTCCCTGAAAAGGGATTATTTAAACTAGAACAAGCTCTCGTACATTACGCAAAAAAATAATTAACAAAGTCATTCCTTTTCGTTGTAGACAATGTGTACGGCCAACAAAAAGCGACACTTGCTGAAATAATAATTGAATAAGAAAGAACTGATCGAATGGAGAAAAAAAAGAAAGGTTGCCACCCACTTGGTGAAAGTTTGACGATTAAACCAGCTGCTGCATAAAAATTGGACCGGTCACGTGAAAAAGTAATGAAGTTTGGAGTTAAGTGGACTCCGGGAAAGTTGTTCTATACTGGCTTAAGTGGGCAAAAACCCGTTGCTTCTTTGAATGGCTTCGTGAAACACCCTTCAAATAATAAGTTTTCGTAATTTACGTAACCATCGAAAACTGTTTCCAGCATGACTCATAAAGTATTGGAACGCATTCGGAATCGACTGCATGACGTCTTTTTTCCTCAATAATACGAAGGGGAAAAATGGCAAAAAAAGTTTTCATTCATGTTTTCTCTCCTTTCACGATATCAAATTTCCAGCCCGGAATCGGACGCCATTATTGGTATGGATTAAGAAGATTCCCGCATCAAGAAAGTGAAAGATGGCGTCAATTTCGATAGTTTATTCAGGCTGATGAGATTCTTCTGGGTTTCTTTTTCTTTCTCGACCCTGGCATAAAATATTTTCGACTTGAATATGCTGTAAGACCTAATGGACACAATGTTCAATTTACATTAATTTAAGCGCTCTGAAACTGTTTGTTAATTTAAAAGTGGAGGTGCACTTATACAAATGCGTCCCAATCAAGTGTCACAGAAAAAAAATTGATGTCAGCAAGAAGGAGGTCCGATTAACTCACAAAAGAGGGAATTTCAACAGATGCCATTAATATATTATTGCAGTTGCCATGTCACAAAAACTAATTTCGAGAATATTATCAAATAAAAAGATGCTCTAAAAAAAACTTGAAAAGCTTCTTCCATTTCAATGTCAACTGTATACTGCGTAGTTGAACAAAAAATTATCTCTAGCCCGGATGGAGTTGATTGGGTGAATAAGAGATTAACTCCAATCATTGAGAGCCAATAATCATTATACTTCGCCCAAAATATATTTTCTAGATGTGACCTTACTTATTCGCGGATTCCTTGATTTTGAATGCGTTCCTTTTTAATGTTTTCCGCCATATGCGTCGTCATGAAGCAGAACGGCGAAATCCATATACAGTGGATGAAATCGAAGGGTTGAATTATTTCAAGGTCGGTTGCCCGGTTGGAAGTGCGTGATCTGCGTTTTAAATGCGATGAGAAAAGACGGGAATTTTGTTTTAAAATTAGTATATATTTTAGGAATCGTTTTTGTTGAAAATTACATAAATCATCTTCAACTTCGTGGAACAGAACACAAATGGCCAAGGTTGCATTCAAACTATGAATTTTCAAAAGATAATTATAGAATCATGGCAAAGTCTGGATTTGGATGAATGTGTGTCATTCACTATTCACACATGGTAGCATTTTTTGAGAACTTCATGCATAAAATGTTTCATTATTCCTCAAACGCGTTCCATCTCAACTCCCGATGGGATGGAATGAGATTTGAGTCTGCCATCTATTTTAGTACTGTATACAGAAGAGCATGAAATATGCAGGTGGAACCTCGCAATTTGACCTCCTGCAATTTGACAGTCAAATTTGCAGGAAGGTTGACTTGCAATTTGACCCTTGCCCCAGTTTGACCCTTATTTTGCGTTCCCAACCCATGGTCTGCAGACTGGCACTGGTCTCCAGACGTGTTTTTTTTTCTCTTTGGTCTGCAGGAAATTTTCAGCAAAATAAAATTCATCAAAAGTAACAATGAAGTGTCTGTTCTGCTTATCTGAAATTTTGGAACGAAAATGTCAGTTAAAATTATTTGATGAAAAAAGTTGGATTTTCTTCTGATAACACTTCAGCCAAATTTTTACCAGATGAAATCGGTTATTTTAATTGGTCGATTTTGAGGAAATTTTCTTCAAGCTGAACTTTCTAATCTTTTGTTTCCTTTCAATTACAGCAGATCCATTGGTGCTTTTAAATTAAACACGTTCTTCGTCTTTGACAAGTTAAAGGACGGTACTTCAGAAAGTTAGTTTTTTAAAAACTCAGACGTTTTTAAACTACTTTGAAACGACCTGGAGTCTTTCTAAAAACACTTAAAGCTGGTCTGCTACAGCAGTTTTTTTGGAAATGTGTTGGTTAGCAGGCACAAAAAGGTTGGGGAACACTGGCCTATCCTATATGCAACCAACCCTACTCTAGAACCTACTGTTGTGTATACAGTATAACAAAACAAAAATATCAGTTCTTTGATGAATGTGTGACTTCACTCATGCTCAAATTTTTTTACATCTTTTGTTCCTTTTTATTCATTCTCTCTTCCTCTCTGACTATATCTCTTGACTATCCCTGGCTCCTTTTTCCGATTCCCTTTTCTTTTTCTTGTTTGGGGACTGTTTGGGGGACACTTTGTTCCAGCTAGGCTCTTCATCAAGGCGGTCAGCAGTAGAGCAATCGCTGAAGAAGTCGGAGAAGCCACCATCGGAGTCGACGAGCACCAAACCCGACAAGAACCGACAGTATTATAACCTCTTGGAGCCTGTCACCTTCCGACCGACTTACTTACGCTTTGCCAAATCCTCCGAACAAGACTTTTTCCAGCGCCGAACGTCGCTTCGACAGCAGCAGCAGCAGCAGCCGACATCAGCAGCAGCCACGTCACGAGACCCGACACGAACCCTCATCAGCACGCGACATCTAGCTACAGCCGACGAAGACGACGACGACGAGGACGACGATGAAGACGCCGCCGCCTTTTTCAACGACTACGACGAATTCGAGCAGCCAAAGTCGACCAAGCCGACAAACGCCCCTGTTGCTGCCTTGTCTGCAAACAACAACAACAACAACAACAACAATGGCGGCGGTGATACTGCCGAACGTCGGTTTTTCGCGCCATTGGTGCCGAAACGTCGCCGAGTTCCGCCGCCGGGATTCCGGCGTCCACCGCCGCCGGGCACCGCAGCGCAGACTTACCGACTGCCGCCTCATCGGCGCCTGGCCGCCATCCAGCGACATCGGGCGTCCACAGCAGCCGCGTCGAGTCACGACAGCATCAATAACAACAACTCGGGTGGACTCTCCCCGGAGAAACTCGCCATTTTGGGTTCCGGAAACTTCGACATCATCACCGGTGGACTGTTTGTGGGCGAGACCGTGCTGTCCGACGACGATGACGAGGAAAGCGAGGCGGATGCTGACGACGACGACGACGGCGGTGCGTACGTGGGGAATTCGTTTAGGCCCACGAGAGGTCGCCGGAAGCGACCGCCGACGAGGATTCATCCGAACGACATCTTGTCCAACTTCCGGGACTTTGCCGAGATTCATTATCGAGGGGCGTTGAGTCAGAACGACGCTGTCGTCATGGCTGTCGACTCCCGATGATGATGCCGTCGGTTGTCGTCATTTTGTTGTGGCAATGATGACTCTTGGGGTTCGTGTGTTCGTGACATATCATCGATCGTCGTCTTTTTATTCCTGCTGGTGGCAACACTCTATGAATTGGTAGTAGCGTGACAGACACAATGTAAGTGTTTGAATTATGCTGTTGCACGAGGAGAAAGAGTGAGAGAGCTTCGAAGCGGCGCCGGATTTCTTCAGCTTTCTTCCGCATTTGCCAAATTTTTCCTTATTTTTATGAGCTGCTGAACCACGCTGCATTTTGTATATCCTTTCGAATAATGTGCACCCATACAAAGGCTGAGTTCTGAATTCACTTGCCGATTCCAGAAAAAAAAATTGTTGACGTAGAAAAAAGAACAAGTCTTCAGCAGAAGTGTGAAACAGCCCATTTTCAGAATATTCGGAACACAGACCTCGTATTGTAATTTTGAGCCCCCCTTTTTTCTTCCAAAAGGGGGCTGTGGGATCTAATCAAGTTAATATTTGGGGATTGCTGTGCATCGTCATGAATCGAGCCAAATAATACCTTGTGGAAAATACTTCTTTTTCATCCAGCAGCGAGTGGAAATGTATTTTTTATACAGCAGTCGTGGATTTACAAGAAAAGATCAGGAAATGCTCAGAAATTCGTATATTGTGCGACAGTAATGGCAATCGGGAAGAATTTTCAATTCCGGGTTGATCCGGTGACTTTTTATTTTCTTTCTTTACCGAAATTTTCGTTGCCGAATTATCTCGCTTTCAATCGGCAGTTTAATTGACAAATGAAAGCGTATTTCGGGCGTGGAAAAAAGCTGCAAAACCGCGAAAACGCGGAAATCTAGACCATCTCGGCGATTTTCATGGAGCGAATTGTTCATTTGATTCACTTTCCCTCCATCGAAGCGTGACTTCTCGGTTTATTTATATATTGTTACGAAGGAAGTCATTCAAAAGAAGTGAGAAAGAAAAAGTACCATGGCAATACAGTTTACACATTTTTTTTTTTTTTTTCGGAAGGTGAACCTCGCTCCAAGAGTTCCAACGATTTTCCTCGGCTGGCTGAAACAGTTTTTTTTCTCAAATTTGGGACATCCCCGCGGATTAGCTAGTCATTGTTGAAGATATTATTGTTATTGCTTACAGAGTTGAGGTTTTTTTTTTGAAAGCAAGGTTTTAATTGAATCCAGCCGATTCAAGAGAAATGAGCCATGAGTTCTACGTTTGTTTCGTTTTTTTGTTTTATTTTTTCTTCCGGGTTCTTGATGCTATTTTGAGGCAGGCGTTCTTATGGAACCTTATCGGACAGCCTAATTTGCAAAAAGTTGTGTTTGTTTGTCTTTCTAATTTGTTGACTTTTTTTTTGCTTGCCTTTTGCTCCTGATGCATTGTTTTTACTCGGTCTTGAAATACAGCCGAAGCTACAAGTTTTTTGTAAATTAAAACATAAAGAAGAAGTAAGCCTGACTGACTGACAAACCTTTAACGCTACATTTCTATAAAGCTCCGTCAAGATCGATATATGTCATCGAACTTTAGGGAGAAAAAGTTTGTATATGACACATAAGTTATTGTCGACTTTCTTTTAGTGACCAATACACACATACAGTACCCCTAGGCTGGGCACTTTTTATTGCGGCTGCATCAATCAAAATTTAAAATTTTCAAATTATTATTCAATTTTTATTATTCATGTTAAATAACATGAACGCGGGATCAGTGACTTGGATATAGCAGGATAGATCACAGATTATTTTTCTTTCATGCGGAATGTCGACTACTGTTTTTCTTTTAATTCTCTGCTCCCAAAAACACAACAACTTTCAAGTTCCCATTTTATTAGCTTGCAAGATAATAAAATCTATATACCAGACTCTGCATTAAAATTGAGTTTTCTGTCTTTTACAAATTGTATTCATGGCTGGCCTTGTACAGCACTTCGAGTGAAAATTGGGTGATTTTAGAGCTTTCTGATTGCCTAAAAAATATGATTCAAGGACTTTTGCAATGGACAGTAATAAATGTGAAAAGATTGGATTGGAGAAAAGGCCAGCTGCTGAAGCCATTCCCTGGTTTTCCGCCAGGCTTTATAGGGAATTATTGAATTTATTGATTCATTTTATGTGAATCAAATTTGGGCAATTCCCAAACGTTGTTTCCATGAACAGCTCAAATTTTAATAACCCACGTGAGGTTAAATTTTATCTAAAAATGAAGGACATTTTTGTCGGTGAGGGTGAAAAAATACTGTAGTTCCAAATAAATGAAATTAGTTTTTATATCAGGAATGCAAACCAATCCCAGACGTCAGCAAAATAAAGTGAGAAAAAAGGCAAACTGGTTGTCATTTAGAAAACAAGTAATCAGCAACCACAACCAGTCACGTTTAAACTGAAAATGCTTGCAGATATTCTTATTAGTTGGTTTTAGTTCCATCATTTTTTTGACTAGCAAAACATATATGAGATGATATTGAATCAATAAAATATCTGGAGATATTGCAGCATGAAATTCTGTCATCTTGCCAAATATTGTCAGTAAATGTAATGTTTTGTCATGACTCAGCCTACAGAAAGCTTGCAGTGAACTTCAAATGGTTGAGNGTCGTCTGAGACGATTGAGCAACGGATCTTGAGCAGGCTATAGAATTTCCTTTCGCTTTTTCCCCCAGCGCTTTCACAGCCGAACCGGAAAATTTTCCTCAAGCATCGGATTTTTATGGGAAAATGAAAATAAATAAAAAGGAAGATAAAAGTCGACGCGGATGCTTGCCTTTGTCTGGAACCTAGTGTTTCAGCGGCCAAAGTGACGCCTGCTCAATGCATTCGAGCATGACTTCCGTGTCAAATAGAGCTCTCTTTTTTTTCTCTCTCTCTCTGTAGTGCACTGGTGCGAACACCAATAGCAGCAATGGCAAGGAAATAAAGGGGAATTCGATGGACAGAAAGAGATGGAAATAATTGGATGAAAACATACCAGGAAGGAACCATCGGGACATCTGAAAAAAAGGACGAAGAATAGTTCTTGCACTTTCCGGGTTTTATTATATTTACTCAAGTACCGATAACGTCATATCGCAATCACCTTCACTTTTGACACGACACTTTTTTTTTTTAGGAAAATCGATCCCAGCTGTGTGAAAAGCACGATCGAGTTTTACGTAACACGTTGGTTATAATTGCACGTGCTAAAAATTAGAAATTTGGATTATTAAAGTTGAATTCGCTCGCGCTGTTTTTGTCTTATTTTCACGGTTTCATCCGTCAATTTGAGTTGGATATATTGTACAGTATATGTTTGACATATTTCCTCAAGAACCACGTGCATCTTTTTTTTCAAAATTACGAAGGAGAAAGAGGGTGAACATCATCGGCAGATTCTGTATCACATTTGTTGATCAGTGTAAATTGAAATGTCAAATATCAACATTAGCTACATGTTTTAGTCCGCCATCAAAGCAGTTATATTCACATTTGGCATCAACAGTCAAAATAAACAGTACCTGCAAACGAAATCACACAGTTCTGCTCTGTCAAACATCTGAAAGTTCTTTAGATTCATTTTTTTAGGACCGTATTCTGCCAATATAAGTGCAGTTGGCTTTCCATAATTTACAGCTGAAACTTTGTTTCTGTAAATATAACAGATAAAGATTAGGAGTTATACCAATGGTCTGCAACCTGTGGTCTGTGGAAGTTTTCATTGCAGGGAATTCTCTTGAGCATAATATATTGATCAGAGGTAGTATAATCAAGTCTGTTATTTGCAAAACAAGTTTTTGGAGAGACAATGGCAGTTGATAAAAATATGAAAGTTGGCTTTTTCCCTAATAACACTTTGGACAAATGTTTGACCTGCTTATAGAAAATTCTTCAAAGTATTCATATTGAGAAAACTTTCTTGAAGCTCAGTTTTTTAATTTTTTTCAAAACATTCAACTATATAAGCTGCTCCATTAGTTTTCAATTCAATTTTTTTTCAATACAATTTTTGGTTGGAAGACTTTATGGCCAGTATTCAAAACAATTCTGTGGGTCTTGCAAAAATGTCATGAAACTTTGTTGGTCCACAAAATATTTTATGGTAATTTGCTGATCTGTAGGCTCAACAATTTCGGGGAATACACCGAGTTAGACAGTGCTGTATTCCCATGCACCAAACTTGAAAGATTTAGTGAAATGTCATCAAATCTTATCACAGAATTTTAGCCTGGAGGGTCGTATTCAGAGTCATATACAAAAAGAGCCGCTTTGACTTTATTTGAGAATTGGTTCTCATGAAAATTACTTTGTGACACGTTTGTAATTTTGGGGTCAAAATCCATATCAGCAGATAGCCCAGGGAAAAATTGTATCCTTCCCTCGAATCAACGTCACGGCTTCTCAAACAGTCGAAATATGTGCAGTATAAAGAAAGTGCCAATAATAAAGTGGGCTCCAGAACCATCGTGATTCCCGGATAATGAATGATTGGAACTGGAGAGTTTTTGACACGAACTCTTTGCAGAGATTTTTATATACAGCGCGTGAATTTTTAATCCTTGGCTGGGAGGTTTTGTTCGGTGTGGTGGTTTACTAGTACTGTTGTGGACTTTCTCTACAATGAAAATCAAGGGAACACAAACATTTTTCTAGAGAACCCCTGTAAAATGCAGACAGAACCCTAAGGGGTACCAGAAAATGCATTTAACAGAGAAAATCGTTGCAGACAAGATCACTGTACTGATAGAGAGTCCACACCTATAATGAAGAATAAATCAGCTAGTTCAATGATAATCAAATGCATAACATAGACTCCTGTGTCCACAAGGATACAGAAAGAAAAATGCAGAATTTCATATTTTTAAATCGGGTGCAGTGATTTGGAGAATGATTGACTTTAAATAGCCAATGTAAATAAGGAAGTTATTTAAAATATGCGGAATATATACAAGGCCTTGTATACATTAAATACAACAAAATAGTATGCAGTAAACTGTACAGCAGAGTACAGTGCCAACTTGG